TTTGAATATGTGAACAAAATCTGGTTAACCTCTTTATTCTATTGATTAGTTGGATTCTAATGATTTAATTAGTTGTCCTAACATCAATATATCGCTGCGATGTGTCTTTTAGTTGTGGTCTTTTGTGAAAGAATGCAGTACATTCTTTGTACGTGGGCACGTGTTTTTTGATGAGTGGACAGCGGTTGAAAGTGGTGCAATAGCTGATACCTCATCACTGCTGGCGAATAAAAGTAAATCTGTAAAAAGGAAGATGCAAGATCGTCATGCCTTAGTACCTAAGGTAAACCGCTGGTTTCGAAGTGAAAATTCCATTTTTGAATCATTTATAAAATCGAAGTTGCTTTAAAACTAGCATTTGAAGTCAATTTTTGCTTCTGTATTATACCTTTTGTTATATTATTATATTATTGTGTTATATATGCTGTACAACTGAACAGTTTTTTAGGAAGTATTTCTTCATCCAACTGGTATTTCTCCAGAAGATGATGTTGTGATGGAAGGTTATCTTTTCAAACGAGCTACCAATGCTTTCAAGACATGGCACCGACGTTGGTTTCAAATTAAGGATAATAAATTGGTGAAATTTCTTTAGAAATGACTAATTTTTTTCTAGAAGTTCAAGCGATATATCGTAATAAACTGAGTTAGTTTTCAGTTAGTTTCAAAGAGACTTTCTTAAACATTCTTTTCAAGATATATTCTCATCGATCCGATGCGATGGAGATGCCAACGATTATGGAGTCGGATTTGAAGTTGTGTCTTGTCAGGCCAGCGCCTACAACATTTGAAAGGACATGCTGTTTTGAATTGGTCACGCCAACAAAGTATTGAATTTTTTCTACCTTGGTCCAAATATCTGAAAGATTAACGATTTTGACAGTGATTCAAAAAAGGCAAGTTCGACCTTTACCATATTTTTAGGAATCATTTGTTGCAAGCCGACTCGGACACATTGTGTAATGCATGGATGCGAGCTCTTCAACGAACGATTCATTATCTACATGAAAATGATGATACGGTACTCCACCTAACAACTGTAAAGCAAATTAGCGATGGAACTTCCGAATCTGCGTCAACTCTGCACCACGAAACATTATTGGCTGAACTGAGACGAATTCCGGGCAATGATGTTTGTGCTGACTGTTGTGTTGAATCTCCAAAATGGGCTAGTATCAATCTTGGTGTAAGTTTACTGGTATTAAAACTAATTTACCATTCCTCGTTAAAATTATTTCATATATTTCACACATAATGCTATTTTTAAATTTTTAAGAATTTTAATATGTAGTTTATATTACGTAGTGTCGTTTTGTCGAGGTAGATAATAAAGGCAACCGTTTGATTCTAGAATTCAGCTTCACCTTAATTCGTTCGCTATGCTTAAGGATCAAAACACTTATAAATATATATGAAGCAGGTTAAGGTAGTGTTTATAATACAATTTCATATTGCATACCATTGTAATACGCTGAACAACTGTTTTCTTTTTCTAAATTTGGCAAATTGAAAACTCCTTAACATGTTTGTTTGCAATTTAAATAATGAATAACTTTGCTTGTTTGATTTAGGTTTTATTATGCATTGAATGCTGTGGTATACACCGAAGCTTTGGTGTACAAGTTTCGAAAGTTCGTTCTTTGATAATGGATACATTGGAACCGGAACAGAAAAAGGTATTGTTAGCGTTGGGAAATCGCGCGGTAAACGCGATTTATCTTGCTCATATTCCTTCAGTGAAAGTAATCCCGCCGCGTCCTGTTGCTACTTCTGCAAGGTATTTCACATTTTATTTTATAATAAAGCATTTTCTTATAGCATAAATTTAAACCAATACGGTGTTTCTAAACAGTTATATTGTTGCTGTTTTAAACTGCTTTATCTTAAAGTATTAGGCATTATTGCGATGTATGTTCCAGAGTAGAAGTTTCTTCATACTTATGCTGCTACGAGATAAATAACAAACTGTTAGAAGCAGAACCTATGCATGTTAAATAATTTCAGGCCAGTGCGAGAGGCATGGATCAGAGCTAAATACATTGAAAGACGATTTGTAAGAAAATGCAGCGAAAGAGCAAGGGAATCTGCTATCAAACGTTCAAAAGGTTTCCATCGTAAAATTGGGGTTTATAATTTTTTACAGTCGTGGTCTACAGAAAAATTGAGAATTGAATTTTTATTAGCGAGAAATGAAATTTACTTAGCACAGAATTGAGAGGACCTTTTTACTTTAGCAATACATCGATCGTCCTCAAATCGAGTTTCTTCAGTCCGTCATTGTTTATCAGAACCATCACCATATTTTGATAATGAACAAGAACAGTTAACTGGGTATTTTTCTGATACAGGATCGAAGCTCATTGAAATCCCAACCAAAGGTTCTTCCAGCGCTTTCTTTTCGATATTAGTTATAAAATGGCTTAAGATGAAATTTCAAGAAAAAACGTTATTTTATTTTTTAGTATATTTTTATCAACGCTAAAAAATCTTGCTATGTTTTCATAGAAGGATGGCCTCATGAATCATTACATAATGCTTTCCGTGCCAGCATTATTTTAGCTATAATTTTTTATAGAAATTGTCTTATTTAAAAGATTTAAATTTCAGAAAGCAGAATATTTAGTACTTTTCTTTCAGATGGCAGAAGAAAGATTTCTGCATACGGATCTGATTCAAATTTGAATATAGCGTGTGATAAATGTAAGTTTTCTTTACTTTACAGTGTTATTATTTGTATGGATAATGATTTTGATTTTTCATCTTTTGTAGTAAGTGACGCTAATCATAATAACCGAGCTGTGCTTGCTGCAACAACGGGCGATACTTTAGAATTGTGTCGACTTATTGCAGAAGGTTTCGATGTTAATACTTCTCTGAATGACACAACAGCATTGCACATTGCCATAGAACATGTAAGTTGAAATACTGTAGACTTCATGCTTGTTTCAGATTATCAACGGACATGTATTTCTTATCCTGTCTTAATGTTTTTTCAGTTCTGATGTTCTTGTTACTCTTAGCTCCCTTGCAATGTTCTGAACAGATCCTTTGAGGAATATAGCAATAAATGAATAAACATATTAATAATGTATTGCTATACTGTTTCATTAAGTATCTTTGTATGTCATCTTTTGTAGAAATTTCGAAATTTGCTTTGAATTTAGGATCAAAGTATAGCGGTGGAATTTCTCCTACTAAATGGTGTGAAAGTGAATGCTCTGGATTCATCTCTTAACACTGCGCTTCATATAGCGGCATCGAAGGCATGCACACTGTGAGATGTTCTTTCTCAATATTATAGAAAAATTCTTCAAATACATTAAACATTTAACTGCTAAATTAGTAAGAAGCTTTGATCTGTAGAATCGTTTGTCAATTAATGAAACGTGGGGCCGATCAGCGCTTGAGAAATCGATTGAATGAAACACCTTTGGATTTAGCAATTGAAGGCAAACATGCTGATATTGTGACACTGTAAGCACTTAACGTTATTTACTTATCGGTACTTACCGTCAATGATTAACTTGCAGTGATGAGAATATAATGAATTTGTTCATTCCCTTTAAATCTTTAAAACTGTTGCTAGTCAAACCGCTAATATGGCATTAATTGTCACTTATTGGATTCGAAACCCTCGAAACTTCGCGACATCTTAAGAAGATGAACTCAATCATCTACTGACCTTTTTTACTTATTGTAATTTTAGCAGTGAAGTTGTAGTCAGATGTTGCTTTATTATTGTTATTACAATAGACTGCGAGTGCAAGAAATGCGCGATGAATTTTGCGATGAATTCAATAATCCAATGGACGAAACTGTAGATGACGTGATGCAAGATATCAGTCGCAAAGTTGATCCTTCGCTTCGATAAATTTCCACCTGGTTTGAACTGCATTACTTCTACAACAGTTTTTTTTTTTCACTTCGTAAAATTTAAAAATGGCGATTTACCCATTTCGCCTTCTTCTGTTTTTCGAAATTTCAAAAAAAAAAATTCTTTTAACTTGTTGCATGGATTGCTAGGAATTGTTTACTGATAGAATACTAGCATATTTAATATAATGATATGATTAAAAAAGTTTATAATTATTAAGTTATACCACGCATCCTTGTGGTAATCTGGGGAGAGCTTCTTCGTTTTTAATTCTGATGTATTATTTGCTAATTATTATTGCTCTCACTTTCAGTGCCAAGAAATATAGAAAATCACGGTAATGGAAAATGAAATAAACCCCTCCAACGTTCAAAAGCACATGAAATTAATTTGCTGTTCATATATTTATATGAGAATAATTGCAGTACATTTATCACATTCTTTCCTTTTTGTTATTTATTTATGTTTTGATTATTTTCTTTTCTCGTAATACCAGAGTATGAAAATTTCTTAGGGTACCCAAGTGATGAGACATTTACATTCTATACAGTTCATGTCATTCTTCATATTATTACTTTCACTTTTACTTTGTTAATTCTTCAATTATATCTATTTTGTTTTGTTGTATGCTATTATAGTAAATGTGCTTTGATGTAATTTTTCAGCAAATGATGAATCCGGAAATGCAAAACATGCCATTAAAGGTCTTTCAGAGGTTTATGTTTCACATAACAATAACTAAGTTCTTTTATATCATCTGTTTCCATAAAGTAATCGAAACTCGGAACTGTTTAGATGATTGCAATTCTTCATTACTGTTATAAAAAGCGTGCAAATTTCACTTCACTTCGATAAGACCTAGTACGAAATATGGCCATTAGGAAAAGTAGACCATTAAGAAGATTGACAACAATATAAGAAACATCAGGATATCTCTGGTAGTTTTATAAATATACTCTACTGGCAATCGAAGGCTATATGGATCTTAAAAAAATCACAAATCACTCAACTGTACACAATAAAAATATTTGAAATAAACGAAGTAGAGCTGTAAAGTACTTGTAGGTCTAATATGGGAGGAAAGTAGCTAATGACGATAACTTATATCGGAAGTTTTCTCAATTGGCTATGGGCTATGTTCGGGTATTGGTGACACCGATCGTAGTAATCCCAGTTGACGGACTATGTTATACTGGTCCGGTATTTCCAACAGCGATTGTACTGCGAATGAAAGTTCACCAGAATCGATACTATCAGCTTTTTGCATCACTTCATGAAATTCAACAAAGTGAAAGTTATCCCAAGGCCTTCTGGGTAAAGATTCATCAAATACCTGAAATTAGCACTCGCAGTTTGCAAATTTATTGAGCATATGCGAACTTAAATAAAACTTAGAAATTAAAAAATAAAATAAATTTTCGGCACAGTGAATGCACGAACCTTCATCATATCCCAAGGTCCATCACCAACACCAACAACGATAATTGACAGTGGGTATTGACATGCTCGTACAATTGCTTTCCGAGTCGCCTTTTCGTTCGTCACTTGTCCATCTGCTACTATCACTAATATATGATACTGCAAACAGACTTTTAAATAGAATGCTCCCCTGTTTCAATATCTAGTATAAACAACTATTAAGTGATTAAAGATTATTTCTACCCAATCATTAAAACCGCTGAAATTAACATGATAGAATAACATACTTCATGCAAACGTGTTTTAGTTAATAATTGGTTAAATTTGATGCAGAATTTTATATTCATTTAATATAGATGATTTCAGAATTGAGATGACTTCTAAGAAATTGAATTTAAAAATTGACTTCTTCCCAAAACTGACTTTCCTGTTCTACAAAAAAAGTGCAATAATCAAGGAGACGAACATTTTGGACTTTTTCGCAAATCTCTATGGCTTCATAAATCAGCGGAGCGAAATTTGTTGGACCACTTAAACTTATTGTTGGAGTGACTGTATCATATACCCTTCAAAGATGGTTAGTTATTAAATTGCAGAATGGTTTTAAGAAAAAAGTGCTCCAACACTTTTGGGAATTCTAGTAACTAATCATACCAGAATCCTTCTTTTAATGATTTGAATATTTTTGGAAATATAAGACACAAAACTGCATCGAATCTCTCACAAAGATTGGGCGTTTAGGGCGGATGTTTCTGATTCTGACTCAAGATGTCCTAAAATTTCAAGGTAGAGAAATATTCAAAATGTCAAATTACTGCAGCAATTCATCGAGGTCTTTGCATTCGCCTTCAGGTTTCAGCTTGAACACCGACCAATCACTAGTTTTCACATCTCCAAAACCATAAGCTGGTATAAAACCAGATGTGGCAAACGGTGCTAGTATCCGTCCCATGATTTTAATTACCTAAACATTCTAGGTTTTACTATTTGTACATATTAGAAGCCTATCAAGTAATCAAATAGGCTAATCAAGTATTAGCAATTTTCTAATTGATGTGAAGATTAATAATGTAGTGAAGACTATTTCTATCATACATTTTTCTATCATATGCAATTTGTATATTTACGTACCTGTTGATAAGGATTTTCTTTAAAAGCATCTATGGAATGCAAAGATCGGCCTTGAAAGCACCGTTCACCTTGGTACTTATTGCTAGCCGTATAGTCAATACCTGAACTTGGTGACGACGTCATTATTCCTTATTTAACACTAAGACTAGTTAAAGGGAAGTTAAATTTCTGGAAAAATTAAAAATTTATGTAAACTTTCTAAATATTGAAAGATTTTATTCAGTAGAAAAGCAGAATTTTCATTTAAAAATTAAAAGAATTTTACCAAAAATCAAATTTGTGGATTGTAGACCAGCTTTACGCATAGCATTTGACAGGTCTTCAAGTGATGTTAGAGCTAGCAGCATTTCTTGCATACTTGTTACACCCAGTACACTTAATAATGAACTTCTTTTCCTCATCTGAAATGCTTTCGGAAATTTCAATATTCGGATTCGAAAAGGATTGCCCAACTAATATTAAATAGTCTACCTCATTATTCCCTCAATTTTGTGTGTCTAGTCTTCATGATCACAATGATCAAATTCCAATTACATCAGGTATCAAAATCAGTACGATTTTATTTATAACAAAAAGCGGATCTTTTGTGAATTCTTCATTTAATTACTGTATATTCTTATGTGGCTAATACCCGTGGTGGTTGACTTCCGCTTGATGTAAAACTCCTTGAGCTTCTTAGTAAAGATGCTGATTGCGATGTTTCTACCGGTTTTGTGAGTGGTATATTTCCAGCAGCTCTCGTTGGTTGTGGTATTGAGAACTGCAAATAAAAATGTATTACAAGTAAAATCCATTTTTCATTGATAATGTATGTAGTTATTTTTTTTTTTTTTTTTTTTTGAAGGAATTTTTAACTTACAACAATTTATGTTCTCTCTTAAAAACGAGAATAAATTTTTGAAATCAAAAGATAAAACAAAAACAAAAAAAAACATCAGTGCATTCTGCAGCAACTTGATCGAAATAATCCAATAAATTTTCACTATTAACACTTTCTTCATCGGGTGGGATTTCAATGGACTGTATCTCGGGAGCATATGTCATCGCATCATCAATTTCTACCGGCTCTTCTACCTTTTCAAATATCTTAAACCGTGCTTTAAAATCAAATTGAAATTGATTGAAATTAAGATCTATTTATAAAGAGGATTTAAAAACAAATAATTCTTACAAAACAATAAGGAATAAATAAAAGAACTGCTTATTACAATGTCGTTAACATTTATTGGAAGAACTGATTATTTAAAATAAGCAGCGAAATATTAACTTCATTAGTCTTGAACATCTGACTCGTGGCTTCCGCAGAAGCAGGTAGCTGTTGTACAGTAGGAGCACCGATAACACTACCATTTCCACCAGTATTGTTTAACATTTCCTCTTCAACTATGAAGCCACTGGGTACTTCGGGACGAATCTCACTAGCTACATATTCGATGGCATCTTGTATGTACATTTCCGCCTCTACTAACCGTCTACACTCTTCTTCTGTAAGTGGTTGACGTTCTGTGATCGAAGTTGTGACAGGGGCTGCAAGCTTTCCATCTATGTTCATCTTGTTGCTATCGGTTGGTGCACATGTCCTTTCGGTTTCAACCAATTCTGTTGGTGTTGTTAGAATAAACTAGAAAATCTCCTTATCAGGTTTCCATGATAGCTCCTGTGAAGTTTAAATTATCAATTTTACGATATATTGAATTTCTAAATTTGAGTAAAACAAAAGCCAAAAGCCATACGTGATATTCTAAACCTACTTGCTGTTGATTTTCTTGAGAGTTGTCATCTGCTGCAATCACTACAACAGATAACTGATCAGGTGATAACTCAGTTATTACTGCTTTTTGTTTTTCCTCTAGTGTTTTCTGAATAGCAGTATCAGGAAGAGCTAATTGTAATGTGCCACTTGTTTGTCTATTCGCTTCAGCGATCTGCTCTAGCAACATTCCACTATCATTTTTTTGTAGCTCATCCTTATAAACTTTGACGAAATCGTCATCGTTTTCGATCGATGTTGGAATATCCTGCACCAATACATTAGTCACTTCAGTATTGCTCGGTTTATAAATAAATTCTTGAACTCGTTCGACAAAAAATTCCTGAATATGGATACATATATCTTGATTGCTCTTTGTACTTTCCATACCTATATCAATTATTAACTTCATTTCACTTGAGATTTCATAAAAGTCAGTTGAATTCCATAAAGCATGAAATGACATCTGTTAAAGCCATTTTATCAAATTTGAATATTAGAATAAGGTCGAAAAATGTTAATATTAGAGCTATGAATTGAAATTTATGGCAGATTTGCTACATTTATAATTAACTCAAACAACTAAAGTTTTTCTGAAAAAAATATTTTCAAATAAAACAATAAATATTTGCTGCAAAAATGCAACTTCAAAGTTCTAAAAAGCCTCAAACAAGGTTGCAATCACCTTGCATACATACTCAGAAAATGTCCAAGAGTTACCGATTGAGCGGGAGCCTCCCAACCATTTGTACTGCTACCACTCCTGCAAGTTTTCAGTTTAAAAAGTTTTTCAAGCTAAATATGGCAAAAACTGGTTTTAAAAAATTCAGAAAATTAACCCATTTCCTCGTTCGCTACCTGTCACAATAGTGTTTGCCGCATCCTGAAATCATGAATGTTATTCAAAGTGAATCAGTAAAACAATAGACTAAGTGAAAAAGTGACTGAAATTTTCTTCAGTATGAAAAATGAACCTGTATACTGGCAACAACATCTTCTGTGTGCGGTGCCGAATGAACTGCGACTTCATCAGCAAATTTATTTGTTGCTATCGCTGAAGGCGTTTGGTCTATTGTCCTACAGAAATGTTATCTAATAAAATGCGAAATATTAATGAGCAAGATCTCTCTCTCTCTCTCTCTCTCTTTGGATCGAATAATTCCTTTCGCTTAATTTCCTTCTTTGCCAGATATTCTCTCATCTTTGATTAATAGTCAGATTCAAATTTTTAATGGAAAGGTAACTCTTTTTAATGCTAACTTTTTTTTTTTTTTTTGGAATTGCAAGCAAATCATCGTATACAGTACTTTGCTTTTTTTAATTTTCTACATCTTTTTCCGATATTAAAAATTAATTTCTTATTTATGCAAAACACTAACCTTCGAAGCTGCTGAAACTGTTCCATTTCAGCGCTATTTGTTTCCATTGATATGCAATCAGCAGGTAAGAAACGATCAATGAGTTCGGATTCTGTTTCAATTTCGGACATCGTACCCGATGCATCTATTACATGTCCAACAAGATCCTGTAACCGTAATTCCTCCATCCGTGCCACTTCACGTTGCCATTCTTTCAGTGCTTCCGTTTCCTCCCTAAAAAATAATAATAAAGATTTTCAAAAATTGTTGGAAAAGGACCATTTCAGTAGTAACAATTCACTTTATCAGTATTCTCGCCCCAAATTTCTGATTTATGATTTTTTTTTTCGCAAAACAAACTTGCTAAAATTTGCTTCGGCTTGCCTTAATTTTCCCATTTTTTCCTTCACGGTTTCCGGCTTATCCATTTCTTCATTAGCCATATTCTTCTGTAATATTAAAATTAGGAGTGCTAGAAAATGAAGTAAAATCGAGTGTCCGTTGGAAATGTAAAATTCGAAAAAATATTTGTAGCAAATTATTTAGTACCATTCTGCTAAATTACCTTTGGTGAAAGATTTTCCGCTTCATGGAATTTGTCAATCTGTTTTCGAGCTTCAAGAAACCAAAAAAAGAGAACTGTGAGGATAACAGAAGCAAGGGAAAGGAACATTCTGGTAGTAAAACCAAACAGCATGAATTGCTCCGAATCTGAACATTCCTCCCATTCGTCGGGATCGTAACCTAATTCTTTCGAAAAAACCATTTCTTCTTGTTCTAACTATTACTCAATCGTTTCAAAAATGTGTTCCAGAAAATACTGCAAAAAGGGATGAGCCGTTACTTCATTTCTAAATTGAACAAAACAATAAATTTCCGAACTAAAATATTGGAGAAAACGGTTTTTAAGCTAAAACTGAAATTATGAATAAATTTAACTTAAACTGTACTCATATTGAAAAAGATGGAAGAATTAAAAATTGTTTAACATTACATTAGAGATAAACATGTTGATTTTCCATAGGCAGAGAATGACGAATGCAATTTAACTTCAACTTAAATTTTTAAACCATATCCGATCTCATTATCACTATTCAAGCAGATTTATGAAGGATGGGTTTAATGGAGAGAATGAATCAAATACAAATTGTATATTTTGTCCGCTGTCTCACGATAAAAATCTCACGATAAAAAATGTCATCTATATATTCGTGGTGTCGCTAAACATTTCTTCAGCGATAAGGAAAAATGGCAGCTGTGAAGGATCTAAGACAAAAATATGTATATATGAGTGTGTGTGTGTGTGTGTATGTATAAACTAAGGTTCTAGTTTCGAGATTCGTTGAACAATGTGAGAGGAAATCTGAAGAGCATGTCTGCTCCATCCTCACAACCCTAGCTAGTTTGAAGTCTGTCTTAAGATCACTTTCATCGCTGCAAGGTCGGTACCCATCACCTCAAGCACAGCTGCATACGAGAAAGAAAAATCATCTTAAGCGTTCATGTTTCTCTTCGAACACTCTCCGAAGATTTCATTTCCTTTTCTTCCGACTCACTGCAACACCAGTTGTTCCCATGAGCAGCCATGTTGCAACATACGTATTCAAAGAGGACTTCACCCAAATTTTTATTTTGTGATCCACAGATCGCCAGGTCTGATATTTTTGAATCCAATGAATGACAGAATTTCCGAGAAATAACCGGAAGCACATAGACAAATAGCAACAACCAGGAAAAATGACCTTCTTTATGTGTGTCCCCCGACTCGTATCACTTCTTTTCATCTTTCAAAACTGATTGAAGCTAAAATGTGGAACGAAAAATGCGCAGCAAAACTTATTTATAAAACGGTGAAGTATATGCAGCAATGATATTTACATTTACATTTAAGCTAAAAAAAATTCTTCACAAAAATAGTACACTCATATAATTTACAAGCATCGATAAACACATCAGACTCAAAGCTCACTGAAAAAATTATAAAGAACAAAAAGAGGGTAAATGCGAAAAAAAAAACGACTTTCAAACAAAACTTCACCAAAGAGAAACTCCAAAGTAAAATCATCAGTTCGTATAACTACCTCATTTGAATTAACAAGAAAAAGTGGAAAATGGTAACAAAATTATTTTTCAGGAATGAAATTCAAACAAGAACGTTAAAATCATAACTTTAAGCTCCAGATGTTAAGGAAATGTTGACAATGGACGATTGGTTGAGAAAGTGATGAGGATTAAAATTAACCTTATAAAACATAAATATTCACAACCAGCAATAAATTGGAACTAATCCGATGAACTGAAGAAGCAAAAATCGTTAAAAGCAAACTGTATGATCGGCCATTTATACCCGACAGATGAGTGGAAAGCATATAAAATAAAATGAAATCGAAAAAGTTCAAGATATGAATAGTGATGCAAATTTTTCCTCATAGAAAGTTCCGTAAAACTGTTTCTTAAAAAGTTCCACTGACAGAAGATGTCAAACTGTTAATCTGAAGCTTTCGGAAAAGTATCAGAAAACTTAAGCGAAATGAGGAGACAGTATTAAATATCGGTTAGTTAGGACCGGAAAACCGGACCACTAACAATCTAAACAAATGGATTAAACCGGAGAGCTTAGACGATTAATATAACACGACCAATCTAACATTCCTGTGCTCAACTTTAGAGCTGTAATGTATTAAAACAAAAGTAAAGCAAGTACTTAGTACTCTTTTTGAGAGAAAAGCATAGGAATGTTCTAGCTCATTCAGATACAAAGACAATACAATAAAAAAAAAAATGGAATAAGAAAACATTCTAGAAACTGGAAACTACCGGATAGCAATGTTGGAAAGTACTGCTTCCAATATTCTCCAAGAGTCATAATCCCAGCCAGATGACGCTCACCGGAGGTTGAACTTTGTTGAAAATTCTTTACAAATAGATAAAGATATTTACATATACAGAAATACACATAAAAGACAAGATAGAAAAGTTCGTTAACTGAACATACAAAATTAATTTGCAGTAAACTGATAGCTGTTCTTAATATCTTCAGTATTTTCCTCAGTATTTCAGCTCTCATTTATCTCACTGAATATGAAAGAAAAATAACCCAAACTTCTGGGATTTTTAAGGAACTAAAATACATTATACTATAAATGAAGATAAAAAAAGAATGAGTTACGCAGGTGGCAAACTGTGATGTATGCCAGACGCAGCCGAAGAACAAGTCAATGATTCTAAACCTATAAGTGTATGTGCAGTAAATGATGATAACATGGCTGAGTCAACGGGTTCCATACACGATGGACAGCTAAACGATCGCATCAACCAATCATCCACACAATTCTTATGATAGCAATGCATACAAGGCAAATAACGAATCGGATCACCATCAACGAAATCTATCATACAAATTGGACACCTAAAAGAGAGAACAAGAATTACATGACACTACAAAAAGTAAAATTCTTTCTCAAAACAGGTTACTGTCATTAATGACTCATTTCAAATTCTAAAATAAGCGAGGGCGTTATATCAGGAAAAAAACAGAAAAAAAGAACTAGATGCTATAATCCTAACTTATTTTATAATAAAATTATACCATTACTATAAGTAGAAAATTCAAAAAATTCTTGTAACATAAAGAAAGGTATGAAATGTGAAGTGATCTAATTTTAAGTCATCCTTCATTAAACAAAAGTCGATTTTGTTGACAGTCAATCAGGAATGACAGGACATAATTCTCCTATAAAACATTCTTCTATCCCACCTCAAGAAAAGAAAGAAAAAGTAAGCCAAAGCTCGATTCGCTTCAATTTTAAATTATTTTAAAATAAGTGAGGACGTTATATCAGATATCAGACATCAGTTATATCAAGACAGCTATTTCCATCTACAATTAACACACGTAAACTCAAAATGACATAACAAATACAAAAACAAAAAAAAAAAAAAAAAAAAAACACATGAAAAATGTGTTTACTCGATATCTCTCATTTTTGCTTCTTCTTTATATGTGTCAGCAGGAATCTGTTCTAGTAGTGTTGACACGTGAACTTTTTTAGGGTCTTCTATCAATAATTCTTGTCGCCTTCTTTCGCTGCTTGTTTCTGAGACCCACAGTTCATTTGTGTATGCACTCTGTAACTAAGAAAAAAAAATAATGTAAAAGAAGACCAGATCCATAAAAATGATCAACTTCTATGGATAATAAAAAATTTTAAGCCTAAAACAACAAAAATTAAAAAAAGATATTAAAAAATTCGTTTCTTAGTTTTTCTTCCGATTAAAATCTTTCAGTACATTACTAAAAATTCTTAAACTGGAACCTATCTCCACACGTTTTAAATATGTACTACCGCAGTATAATGATGATATTTCGGGTGTGCTCAACTTTTGACTACAATACTTGAACAGAAGTAGTTAGAGTAAGGTAGTAACTCAGAATTTATGGACCTATCTCTTCTCAAATTATGGTTCTCTTCATATGGGATAAGCGCTAATCAGTAGCAAGCAATACAGTCCCAGAGAATAACCATCAGTTAACTATCAAGCGTTATGGTTTAAAAAACCTCTGAATCGGGATATCTCATTATAGTATTACTGCCGCTAGCATTATCAATGACTTCTTCCAGTGCGGAGTGATCGTCGCTACGCAATAAGTTCGGGAACAGTAACGGCAAACAGTTCCCCATACTCGTTCCTTTTCCCATACATCGATTGGTACCACCAAACAGCAATATGGAGATTAATGAAAGGATCTGCCGGATTATCAAAAGTAGGAAGAGACAATCTGCAAAATAAAATGACAATTAAAATTGGAATAACTGGAAATCTGAAAATTATATTCGACTAAGAAATTACAAAATAAAACTGCATTAGAAATGAAAAAGTCTTTGCCATCAATAACTTCATAATGCAATGAAAACGCAGCACATGACGATATCTGTCTAATTTACTAAAATATTCGCAGTATTCGCCTTCTGAGAAACGTAAAGGAAAACAAAGGCAAAATGGAGATGGGTATAAAGTAAAACTGGGAATTGTGATTATTAGAGACCAATAAATTATTTAAGTGTAAATATTATTTATGCAAAGTTAAGAGAGCAGAAGTGCTAAATGGTAACACATTACGAAACATAAAATGGATTATAGGATAATTGGTACCAGGAAATAAAGAGAACCACGTGACGTGGCGGTGCTGTACGAGATAAGGTAGATGATGACTGAGTGCCGCTAATCCCGCACATCTATCATCCCAAATCGACAACTCACTTCACCACACTTTTACACACATCCTTCCACGCTGCTTGCCGCGCCGCGATCAGCAACGCGGCAATCGATTTACTGTTGTAACTATTATTGCGTCCAATGGACGACCCGGAATCCACTCTTTCACGGCAGGTGCATTTAATGTGTATGTGTATGTATGTATGTATGTTTGTATGCGTATGTGTGGTATACGTATATCATATCCATCTAGGTGTAAAGTTCTGCTTCAAAACTGAAATATTTCCAAAATTTAAACTATTTTCCAAGCAAAAAGTCTGTTACTCTTGTGTTTGATGTATTTTTGTTATTTGATGGGAACTATTCCACGTGAACATCAAGTTTACGTATGCAGCACTTTTGAGAATTATTTGACATGATAATAGAGTTATTACAAGCAGCTAAAAAATGATGATAGTATTGTTTGCTCTGAAATGACCATGATGTAAAGTAATGGATAAAAGTGATAGCATTGAAAAATAATCATTCAATAGTATTAGATAGGAACAATTAGTAAATGATGGGCAACAAAATTACTAGGATTGTCGTGTTTTTCTTTTTGTATTTTATTTTTTAAAGGAGCAATCTTGATTTGATCAGCTATTGATGATTCCTGCATATCTTGTGTATCGACATTATCAGAAGAAAAAAGGAGTGATGACAATGGAAGCTTTGGACGATGTGACAGGCGTTCATTCTTCATTTATTGCACGTGTCAGTCACAGTTTCATGTTTTATTTATGAAAAGATACTGTTCTTTGCTAGATTACTGTTACAACAATGTCCGTTTCTTAGGCATTCATCTATAACTACCCATTTTATACAAGATTGACTGAGGATTAAATCTTACTGCTGCAGTTCACGAAATGTATTTTCATTTTGACTTGAAAATATCTAAACGATTTTGCAGTAGCTGATGCATACAGTTGAGACAACTAACGTAATTCTTCTAAAAGAAGTAGATAGTATGATGACGGTGTGTGTTCTAGTTCATTCTTGGAGGGAAGTTTTTCATAAGCTCAGCCTTGCCTTAGTTTCCCTATTTGTTATGTAGTCGTTCCCTAAAACTTTTTTTTGGGAGGAGAGAAAAGGTGGTTTTGGCAAATCACTTTTTTTTGAAAATACGTTGAATGCTTTTAGGAGGCTTTTACGCTTCAGGGAGTTGCAGCAAAACGAGTTGTGGAAAGTGAAGAAACAGAAGACTGTTACATCAGTGGGAAATTATCGTTACTTGAAAAAGTTTGTGCAGTTTATCTCCTACTCATTTGGTTGTTATCTTCGACAGTTAAATAGAAGTTGTTTTTATCAATTTTTACCAATATGATAACATCAAAAAATTTTTTATTTTCAGCCATGTGGTGTGATGATTGAATGGGTTCCTATGGAAGAGGATGGTTGGGTCCTTGCAGCGGAGGATGACAGTGAAAATCTTTCAACATCATCAGATAGTGGTGAATCACGACGAGATTATATAAATAAGCTAAAATTTTCAGTTGATATTAAAGATTTGCGGTCATTTCAATGTGTTGAACCGAAGAAAGGTATTTTTTCCAAAATGAATTCTGCTTGTTGAAATTGAAATTATCTAACTTTTTGGTTATCATTGGTTGAAAAATCTTGGTTTATTTCGAATTTCTATAAATCATAGTATTTTTTAATTTCGACTTCTAACTAGCAGTAGAGCAGTTAATAGAATCTGTGTTACTTAGTAAGTCTGTCTTGCTTTTGTATGTAATATGACTCATTTTTGAAGGATATCCTTGGGTACGGTTTATCGGTAAGGATGGTTCGGGCTATACACCACTGTATTTTCGTCAAGGTGGTATATCTTCCTTTACTGATAACTTACAAAGGTAATATTTTCTTAATCATTTATAACTTAAACATACACTTATTATTTTTGCAAGTTTTAGATATGCTACATTGAAACGTTCAGCTCGAGAAGCAAATTTGGTACTTTTTACGGATGAACGCCTTGAAGCTTTGGAACAATCTGTCTCCATTTTGGATTTGAACAGTGATTTCTTCTCGGTAATTTCATATTTTGCTTGGTTATCTTTATTATCTTTAGTTTTGTGAAAACATACATTGTGACTTACATTTCCACATCTAATTTACTGTTATAGCGTATGATGGCACAACCGTACGCGACAGCAATGACAGGACTTGGGAAAGTTGCAACATTTGTCCAGGAGCAGGTACATTTAGAAATTATTTTCCACTTTGTTAAAATATTATATTAAACCATATATTAAAGAAAATTTGCATCTTTCTTTGCTGCTATTATTGCCACTCTCACACTGCACTCTGATTTCCGGATTGGAACTGTGGACATAACAAAATGTAAAAGCACTTAAAAAAAGATATATAGTGACAAGCTTAAAATCTTTAAATCATCACTTTCATTTCATATTGTATTGTCTCTTTTGAAGGTTATTCCTTCTATACTGGAATCAGATGCGGTGAGCGCAGAAGAAAAAATCAGAGCAATGAGGGAGTTAAGAGAAAAAGAAGATGAAGCAGCAGGCATTCTAAGGTAATTCTTTCGACAAATTTTATTCGATTTCTTCATTTATTTTTACAGATCTCATATCATATTCATTGATTTTATAGGTCGCATGATGATGCAGGTTTTGAACTTATAACACATTTGGAATTGCCAGAACGCCCAGAATTTACAAGGGAACAACCACTGACCGAAGCACTCTGGCAAAAGTATAAGTAAGCAGAACTCGTGTAATTTTGGCATGATTTAGTCAGATTTGCAGTTCGTTTTCCAAAATTTGTTTATTTGTGGTTTTTTGACTTTTGTTGGAAATGAGAATATTTAGAATGCCTAATGGCTCTATCAGAGATGTTCATTCATTAAAAGTATTGATCTTTCGTGGTGGTTTGGATCCATCGTTAAGGAAAGAAGCGTGGAAGTATCTTCTCGGTGTATATGATTGGAAAAAATCCTCTGCACAGAATGAAACTGTAATTATTCGCATTTTCAATTTTATTTGTTTTGGGCTTCTTTTTTCATTTGTTTACTTCTTAGAATTTTCAGAGAAATCTTTTAAGTTATTTTCAACAAATTGCTCTCTAATTCTTTTCTGTTCATGAACAAAATTATTTTTAAGATACACAAAACGCTTTCCGAGGATTATTATCGCATGAAACTACAGTGGAAAACAATAAGCAAAGATCAAGAAAGTAGATTTAGTGAATTTGCTGCTCGGAAAGCTTTAATTGGTATTTTACAAAGCAATTTATCATCGTTTGCATTTTTAGATATATTTTTTATATGCTTTATAAAAACGATCCTTTCAATTGATCTTTTGATTTATTTTCAGATAAAGATGTCTCACGAACAGATCGTACACATGCTTTCTTTGGTGGCTGTAATAACGGTAATCTCGTGCTCCTCAATGACATCTTAATGACGTATTGTATGTATAATTTTGACCTCGGTTAGTTGTTTATTCAGAAAAAAAATGCACGGATTTACAAGAAAAAGCTATAATGGCTATAAATCATTTTTTTTTAAAACATTATCCAATTGTGTTTTAGGTTATGTACAAGGAATGAGTGATTTTCTTTCTCCTTTGCTTGTCGTGCTGCAGAATGAAGTTCACGCGTTTTGGGCTTTTGTTGGGTTGTTGAAAAGAGTAGTAAGATTTTAATTTCATTAGCTTTTTAATAAATGATTGAAATTATGTTTCATTCGTTTCCAGTTTTTTGAACAGTTTAGTTTCTTTGGCTGTATGTAATTTCTAACTATTCAAGTTTTGTAAGAGTATCATTTCTCTTTTTGACCAGATAATTATTTTGTGTTAGATTATTTTATAATTTTCCTCTGTCGAATAATGAAATAACTAACAGGAATCAAAACTTCTAACACTCTCCAATTATAGTTTAGTTGAATTGTTTAATTTTTGTCATAAATTTGTTATTTCTAGCACAGAAATTTCGAATTGGACCAGTCAGCTATTAAAAAGCAGTTGATGGATTTGCGTGACCTCCTTATGGTTGTTAATCCCAGATTAGCTAATTATTTAGGTTCGCTGTTTTGATTTTCAGTTTGAATATTTTATGAACTGATCTGTATGAAGTTTGTTTTTAACTATTTGCATATTGAAATTGATTATTTTTCTTCAATGATATTTTTCATATAGTTCTTTATTTATTTTTGCAGAAAGTCATAATTCTGATGACATGTACTTCTGTTTTCGCTGGGTGCTGGTTGTATTCAAACGAGAGTTTTGCTTCGATGATATTATGCGGTTATGGGAGGTTGATGCTTTTAATTCAGTTTTCATGTATTCCGTGTATTAATACATTGTATTTCTTCAGGTTTTGTGGACCGATTTACCATGTTCAAATTTCCATCTTTTAATTTGTGTTGCAATTCTTGATCAGCAAATGAATTTCATCATTGAAAACAAGTTTGGTTTGACAGAAATCCTTAAGGCTAGTTTCATTTTTCCTTAATATTTTGACATTTCGAAAACTGACATTTTAATATTGAATTCAGTGGATTGTGATAATGTAGACTGTTCAAGTCAGAAATATTACAAGCTCTCATGAATTAGAAAAACTGTTAATCAAATCTCTAACAGTTATATCTAACATTTACTCTTCTGCAAGTTGCGTCATGAAAATTTGTTGCTTAAAAATCTTAAGAAATTTTCAGAAATATTATAAATATTTAGATTCTTTCCATTATTTCAGCATGTAAACGATCTATCGATGCATATTGATTTGAATGATACGTTAACTTCAGCGGAAGCTATATTTCATCAACTTGCGGCCAGTCAAGACAAACTTCCAATTCATGTGTGTAAGATTCTATCACTGGGTGATTCTTTTGATTCCAGCGAAGGATGAAAATTTGTCCATTCAATAGTGAAGTAATGGTTAACTTAAGTATTATATCTGTATGTGCTGCGAAAATGCACCTGCGTCTCATGTGCTATTAAGCACCGAGGAATACGTTATAAGGTGCTGTTTAAGCTAACATTTGTTTCGATAACTTTGGCAGCATCAACACATGGGCAACGCCCTGAAAATCACAGTGACTACTAAAGCTGCTGTAGATTATTATTATATTATTATCCAGACCTGCGTTTAGAGTATAAAATGTCCAGACCCAAAATCACCAGAGATGAAAATGTTTTTTTTTTCAGTTATCGATTTACTTATCAGTGTTAAAAATGTAATAAATTCCTACGACTTAATCCCTTTTCAACAGATGGGTTTGAATAATCGAAATTATGTGATAAACTTCGCAATCTTATTTATTCATTTATAAAGTAGAATAAGTTTTGAACTGCCATCTCATTATATATTTCAGTAAATATAATGTTCTCCAAGATTTTGGCAGGGGTCTTTTTTATATGTAAGCAATTCAATATTCTTTACATAAAAATCTTTCATTGTCTTTCATTGAGAAAAGTGATATCCAGCTAAACCAACAAATGATGGAAAAAATTTTTGTTTCATATATATTATCTTGCATGCCCAACTCACCATTTATTTTTGCAAGGATTTTTTTCTTGAAAAATAATTCTCTTGTTTGAAATCTATTTGTAATAATTTTATTCATTTTAGTTTTGTACATTAATGCGGATCTTCGGCCTAAATTTCCTTCCGTCTGTTTCCGGGTCTTTAATTTCATTTCCTGATATTTCAATATTTTGTTACATTTGACTAATATATTTAATGTTCCCATATTTTCTGTATGAATCTTTATCACGTTATCACTTCGCTTTGTCATATCCTTTTTGAAATAATATTGTGTTTTTCAATTTTGTTCGACAATTTGGTTCAGTGTTATATTTTCTGCACATACATATATTCATAAACCTTATTTTTTAAATTTCTTAGATTAAGTGTTAAATATATTCTCATCCAAATATCTAAATACATATAATTTTTAAGTTATGTTTACTGTGTCAAGTATAATCAAATTCAATAAAACTCACTTTTGATGAAACAGTCTTCATGATGTTTGACTGGATAGAAATATGTGACGAAGGGATTTGAAGGTCTGTAAAGTAGGAAGAAATAAAGTGAGAGATATCAGAGTTCAAATGATAGCAGGTATGAATAAGTAATATTGCTTTTATAACAAAATGAACATTAATTGATTGGCAGGAATGATGATTCAAATTTTAGCGGTGAAAGAGATCATATATTGCTTTTGGTAACGGAGAGTAGAGTGGGAGTAAGCCTTCGTACAGTAAAGTATCACAAAAATTGCGAGTAACTGGGAAGATGTGTGAAAAGGATCTATAGCTTGTTCATTCTAAACAAAATCCAGCGTTATAACTTAATACAAAACAAGATTTCAAGATATCACAGGGAATAACTACTCTAAATTTCAATAATTTTTGATAAGCAAAAATCATTTTGCCAGTGATGCACTAATGCCAATGACACCGAATTATTTGGTGAAGATATTGTTGCTAACCAACTTATTAAGACTTATCAAACAGTTAGACTATTTTCATTTTCTATCCAGTTTCATGATAGCATTGTTATTCTAAATTCCCAAATAGAATTCTTCAGTTTCAGGACATTGTCCATTTATTCTGCACTCTATATCTTGAAATTGATGAAATGTTCTATGTCAGATTTTCAAGTAAGGTGAATGAATCATGCTATCGTTAAATAAATATGAAATTATAATCAATTTTTTGCTCAGCTTTCAAAAATATTTCAAAGCAGTATATTGATGATGCATAACATAAAAATCAAATAAATGCCTTTTGATGATGTGAAAGTGTCGGATAGAGCCTAATACCGTGGTGATAAAGGTTAATTTCCACTTTTTTTTAATTTCCACCACAAAATTGAGTCGAAATATTATTCTTGAACGAAAACAAAATTGTTGTTTGTGTTGTAAAGAATAAGAATATTAAGCGCTATTGTATCATAACAAGGCGTACATGAAACACATATGCACATTGCACAACTATCTATTGATCAAATATGCTAAAACCTAGTTAGGCTTATATATGCACCAGGAATAGAGCAGTGTGCAAGATGCAAAAATGCATACAATCTGCTCTTGAGAATGTTGTTCATTTCACCGTTTGTTTTAAGTAGTTCGGTTTGAAGGAATGAAATATTTTGATGGATGTGAATAATTGAGAGATTGAAATGAAGTGCCAAATACAAAAGAATGAATGTTAAAGAAAAGTCTCGTGAAGAGGTAAATTATTGAAAGACAGTGAGAGGTGAAGAATATTTGAAAACTTGAATGCTTTGCATGAAAATGTGCATAATATCACTATAAGAAATGATTGGATTTTATGCACAGTTCAATGCTAAGCACTGAAGTGAACTGAAGTACGGTACAGAGGTGTCATGCAGAAGAGAGACACGTCAACAGTATCATCACTTGCAAACATATAACGGACTGCTTGCTTGCTTCCTTGTAGCACTTCAATCTCCCTCCTCCTTTCTTTATGCTTCCTATACAAACCAAAAAGCAGCCCTTCTCCTCCTTATCTTATCAGTTCCACAATGTCATCATCGTTGTATATTGCCAACAGATGATAACTGTCATCCTTCAGTGCTTACCAAATCTGTAATTTCCGTATGGATCGCTTTGCTTCCCAATAACTACTGTTAAAACCTTATGAACCAATAATATTTGTATGATAAAAGGACTACCTGAAACAATTATTCTTCATCCCTACACAATTAAAAAATTTCTGAGTAGAACCCGTACACTTTACACCATGACGTGTCATTTCTCAACTGTTTTTTGAACGTCAATGCAGAACACACGAATAAGCAACTGCCAAGCGACACCAAGCATGTGCGAGCTAAAAAAATAGTTTCGATCTTGAAAATAAGAGTTGAAACTTGAATTAAATGGCGATCTCTATTTTCTGTGCTTATCTCCTTATAACACTGAGTACACATAAGGCATTTCATACAGGATTAAATCACTTTCGTCATAATAAGTAAATGCACACATTGACTCTGTTTGATAAATTTTATTTCAATCATTCGTGACTGAAGACAAATATTTACAGAGGATCATCCACCAAAGAAAAAATATCATTCCTTCAAGAGGATTGACATTTCTCATCAATCATAAAATGAACAATGATTGGGCCAACAGTTAGTTATCAGAAAAGCATATATGATGTAAAAGCAACAAAAAATATAATAAAATCACAAATCAAATGCAGAAGTCTCTATCTGATCAATTATACCGAACTGTTTGGCTTCTTCCGGACTCATATATCTATCGCGATCTAGTACTTCCTCAATCGTTTCAATATCCTGTCCTGCAAACACGATAATAAGAAAGCTTACAGATACACACTAGATCACAAAATTAGCCTTTACTATAGTTCAAAAGAATGGAAACAAATCTTAAATATTACTATATTACTAAAAACTAGCAGTGGATGCATAATACTTCTTAAGTTACTCCTTATTCACAAAACACTAATAATCATAGGGCAAATTTTAAAATCAAGAAGCATAGTCATTCTCATCAGAGAAACTAAATTTCTCTCACAGACAGAAATATCATTGTAATTAAAAGAATATAGTTACATATGTTGAACACGCTTTACCTGTATGAACGGCATAAATTTTGTTCAACCGTGTTTTCAGTCTACCAATTTCTTCGGCTCGAATCAAAATATCGGATGCTTGGCCCTTAAGAAATTCAGTAAAAAAAATTCGTAACCCAATTAGGCTACCAGATATTTAAATTTCTGAGATCACTGACATAACAGGCCAATTAAAATATGTATAAAGAATCGAAACCAAATAGTAAATGTGTACCTCTGCACCACCACTAGGTTGATGAACCATTATGCGAGCGTTGGGCAACGATGTACGCATCCCTTTTGCACCAGCAGACAGCAGAAGACTACCCATACTTGCAGCCTAGAATTTCAGGGATTGATCACCGGATAATTAGATCTTTTTGGTCCAAGTAAACAGCGCATATACGAATGAAAAATCGGAAGAGAGAAGGATTCAACCATAATTTATTAAAGATTACAAACCGATCACCTGGCCAATACACCAAGTTGCTACTGGAGCGCTAATATATTGCATCGTGTCATAAATACCTAAACCAGCGGTCACGCTTCCACCTAGAAAAGATTCGAACTTAAAGTTAAGGCTTAACTTGGGGAGAAAAAGACAAAATAAATACAAAACGATTTCCTTACCAGGACACATTATATACATATTAATAGTGCTCTTCGCGCTTTCGCCTTGTAAAAAGAGAAGCTGTGCAATAATAGAAGCAGCAACCTGGTCATTTATCTAAAAAACAGTCTATTTGTATATCTCGAAAACAGAAAGAAAGAGAGAATTGCAACTCGAAAGAGAATTGAAGCTGTCATCCAGCATCTACGTGATGTCATAAAAATACACGTGAGTGAAGAATAAATGAATTATAACAACCAATTATAATAACAAACCGATGTCATTACACAAACAATACGATCTTTGAGCAGCCGTGAATAAATGTCATAAACTCTTTCAATACGGCCATCCTGATCAACCACCATTGGTATCGTCTGTTGCCTAAGTAAAGAAATATGCAACTGTCGATGGGAAAATAATTGTCGAATAAACGATAATCCTTTCATTCTGAAATTATTTTTATTTCATGTGGCAAAAGGATATATCGCTTTCCCGACAGTTTTATAGAAACAAAAAATTGAGATTTCTATTTGTCAGATGAACGTAGGAGAATTTACATGAATCTAGCGAGTTAGTGATGCTACGGAATCCTCTTTGTTTGCTATAGTCCCCTCCAGAATGTCATATTACATCTTTTGTTTGATTAATACTACACTTAAGACCGGAAATATGAAAAACATTTTAGTATTCGATAACAGGCAACCACTCTTTTATTGCTTATGTATAACTTGAAAATAATACTATAAAAGCTCTATTTTTGCATTCCTGAGTTATAATAAATCTCCAGAAAAAAGACCATGGAGAGAAGTAAGATGAAAAATATCAGCAAGAAATTCTAATCACTCTTTTTCTTGTATTACCTTCAATAAAAATTGAAACAAACCGGTTTCTAAACTTGCTACTAGTTCACATTATAAAAGCCAATAAAGTTTACACCTCTAATTTGCTATTAGTCATTATCACCAATCTTAACAGACAGGTCTATTCAGATTTCAATAACCACCTACTTTACTCCTAATTATTCCACAAATTCTACAGCAGTGATCAGCTACCAAAAAAAGAACTGAAAATACAATGACAAAAATATGAATTGTTCACTGCAAGGTAGTTTTGTTTCGTTAACCACAAAAGTGACAATGACTGTTTTATCTCTATATATAATCTTCATAAACATCATTAAGCTATCAAACTAAGCATATAAAACAAAGATTTGCAAAGTCCACCTTCATCAACGCTATTCTTTAATTTCACTACAAAGATCGAGCTTAATCTGCATAAGGCTCATACAAACCTAAGACTTACATCATAGGAGTAATACTTCAGTCTTCAGGCTGCAGGGAATCACAAGGGTGACAACACATTTAACAGAAAAGAAATTGAAAATACTATAACAAAAATATGAATTGTTCACTGCAAGATAGTTTTGTTCCATTCACCACAAAATGACTATTTTATCTCTATATATAGTCTTCATAAACATTATTAAGCTATCAAACTAAACATATAAAACAAAAATTTGCAAAATCCACGCAAATGTAAACACAACATTAGGAGGTCTACTCTGAAATTGATATTATTTCGGAAAACAACCACTTTTAAAGTAATTTTTCGAGAAAAAATAAAACTACTGAAAAATCAACTCATCAAATTACAAATCAAAATATATCAACATGGAATGATATGTACGAAAAAAAACACTAAGCTACTAAGAATCAACGGAAATCGTCTGGGTTGAACAATCCTCTAGCTCTGCTCATTATACTGTCCTGAAAAAATGCTTGCTACTTGTAGAAAATCCAAAGAAGTAGCAAGATCTCATGAAAACCACATCGAAAGGATGCGGTAGATAATGAAGTCAGAAACTATTTTTGACATACCTAAAATTGGAAATGAACTCAGTGTTTTGGCAGGCGGTAAGCATTCTAACAGCTGGGCATACAATTTCTAGCATTAATCACTAACAGTTATTTGTAAAAACATTCAGAAGAGAAGCTACATCACTTAATTGTGACTTATTTTACAGAAAGACGTAAATGAGTAAATGTCGAAAATAACCTTAGTTGGGTCATAAGGAGCTTCCTTCGATGGAATCTCCAAAACGGCCGGTATACTGGCAGTGTATTCATCAACAGCAAAACGTATTTGTTCAGCGATATGTTGATTAATTAGAATTATCGCAATATCATCACGTGAACAAAAATCTTTGAATGCTTCTTCTATCTCATTAACTGTTGTATTTTTGTCGACAATTAAATAATTTGGTCGGCGAGCCTGAAATAAAAAACACATTTTGATTTGCATAAAATATAACAGTCAACCACAACCATGAGGCTTTGACTTGTCTAATAAACTAAGTATTTACACCAAACAACTTTGTAGCATGAACACAAAAGAAATACGAAATGAACCTTATTAAGTTCACCTATTCCACCAAGCAAAAATCCGACCACAGTATCTTCGTCTCCTATCACTGCAATAATTTTTCCTTTTTGAGCAGAATGAGCCATCTGAAATGTTGTTTTTACATGATCCCCTATAAACAGCACAACCAGCAACAAAACACACAACACCACCACAACTACCAGTAAGCCATTGAGAGATCCGAGACGGAACGAAAGATCGAAAGTCGAGTCGCCAAAAACCAAAAAGTGCACAAACGCGTGTTATATTTTTATTTTTGGTCTTCTACTCCTATCGTTCTGTGTTAAGTAGTTCGCAAACATTACAAGGGAAATGTTGAAAATGTAATGAGCGTTAAAATATTCGCATTAAAATCGGAAATACCCTGTAACAATGTTCTTTCCCAACTCTCAACAATCTCTTGCTGTACAGCATTCAGTCTTTATTGACACTTTCTCTTCCTTTTTCTACTTCGCTAAACACATTCTGTTATCCTTTCATAAATTTTATTCATTGAGAGCGAACGAAAATGTTTTGTTCCATTGCAGTGTTGTTTTCCCGATAATTGTGATTTTTTTGGTAGCGTTATTTTTTAGGGCATAGGCTTTTTTTAAAGATTAATTTTTTTGAAGGTTAACGAGGACTTGTTTATTTAATTTTATGACGGCCATAGCTTTGTCCATAACATCAGAATTAAGCAACAAGAATAGTGTTTTATAGGGAGTATGACAAAGACTGATCGGAATGGGATAGTATGCATTACAAGCATGCAATTATGAACGGTACTGTATTTTTCAGAAAAATGGATAGAAGCTGAAACAGTATCTGATTGATAATATACACTATCACTGAGTAGAGGAGCAGTGTATGCGGTTGAAGAGGCAGTGGAGATTGATAAGAATTGCTGGGATTGAGTATTTGAATAAGCTGAAAATTATGTACGAGATATTTTGAAAGGTAGAGGGAATGTGACTTATTCCATTGCGATTAAGTATTGGTTGTGTTTCAGGTATTTGTAGTCCTAACAATGACTTCGACTTCTGCTGGCAAGTCATTAGTTGAGACGGATTGTACACTGCACAATCCTTTGGTAGATTTGTCGAGACGAGTTATTGAGGGAAATCTAGACGACGACTTTGAAAAAACGTGGGATCAATTTTTAGTTGAGAATTCAAGGCCTCGGAATGTAAGTATTATCGATAAGGTTTGTCCATTATTTATTCTAATTGCATTGATGAAAGGCATTTCCTAGTCATCTATAGGTTTGATCCATCGAAGGTTACTTATATCAAATTACGCATTGAGACTGATACACATGAAAACAATTTAAGTAGTTTGTGTAGCACAAATTGGCTAAGATTCCTTTTGACTTCAGCTAGACGATGAGTATCTGATAAGTCTTACAATGTCTACCGCAGCTCCTAAGACGACTAATCTATACGAATTGGCTGATCAAATGGACTCTACACAAAATCTGGTTGATTTGTGGGCTGAGGAATACGTAGCACGACATCAACAATCCAAGAATTTAGTTGAACAGTGGGCTAACGAAGCAGAGCAGCAAGCCAATTATTTACCAGAACAATGGGCTAAGGAGTTTTCTGGTTTAAACTTTCATGAGCAAGAAGTTGAAGACCGAGATAAAGCCAGGTATATTACTATCATGGATTCCAGGTTTTCAGTGCCAATATGATGTTGAATGTAGCAATCGCAGACCTTGCTTAAAACAACAAATTTTTACATAAAAATAAATTCTGGAACTTTCTACGTTTTTCAAATTGTTGCAGTGACAAATCTGAGATGTGGGCCACTGAATTTCTCGACGAATTTGACCAAAAATCGCAAATGGACAAAAGATTTGCATTGGAGGCTGGTTTTGCACTAGAAAGTTTAGTTGAAAATAAAGTAAAAAAGAAATGAAATTGCTCAAGATTAAGACTCGCCCAATTAATCAGTTAATTAATTAAAAATGCCACTTTTTTTAGAACGCGATCTGTGCTTCTGAAATGAAAACTGAAACAAATGCTAAAACATTTGTAGGAAGGTAATCTCTCATTTGTTTATACGTTCATTCATTTTGGTTTGTATTGATTCCTTTCTTTGAGTAGTGGTGTTCAGATATTTCGAGGATATTAAAAAATCTACATGTTCTACAATGTGTTGGAATAAATATCGTATTGTTTGGATTAGAAACGAACAAAACCTTGGTATTGCTGATTTTTGTTTATTTAAATTGTGAAAATCAAAGCTTTTTCAACCAATATCTCGTTTCAGGACACGCTTTGATGAAATGTATGTTTTCGGAAGGAATAATCCGTACTTAAAAGAAATGGATGCATTCGAAAAAGGACAACAAGCGCTGAATGCTGGACTGATAGTTGATGCTATTTTATATTTTGAAGCTGCTGTACAACAGAATCAAGAAAGTTTTGAAGTTTGTTTTTCTTTTAATGAGCTTGTAATACTTCGTGGTCATCTAATCTGTAGTGTTTTTGATAAAAAACTTTTGCCGTGGGAAATATACAAATTTCTCCATTTTGCTTTGGCGTTTAAATCAATTTTCTAATTATTTCTAGCCGTTTTAATATTTCGAGAAACCTTCGATTCACAGGGCTGGTTTCTACTTGGTAAATGTCAAACTGAAAACGAGAACGACAAACAAGCAATTGCTGCATATAAGAAAGCTTTGGATTTGAAGCCAGAGCAAAAAAAAGTAATTTTTATATGTTTCAAATCAAAATTTAAGAACCATGCAATAAGGAGACATATGCACATGCATTAGTGTATAAAATATAAAATTAGGTTTTAATGTTCCAGACTTTTACTAGATTGACCAAATTGATTTTGATATCAGATTACTGAAAAAATTTAATAAATGAGACGCTAATTTAAAGAATAGTTTTAAAGAAGCCATCTTTAATGGTAGAGCATGTAAATGCTTATAACAAAATCACTGCTTTTTAAGGAAATACAATTAGAAATATATATTATATAATTCTTAACTCTACAATTTTTAATATCATGTACGCTTGTTATCAAAAGTTTT